GTATTACAAGAAAAAAAATTTTAATTTATCAAATTAAAAATTTTGATATATTGTTAAAAGAACTAAATATTTTATATAATTATCTTAATAAATATCTTCTTGAACAAAATCCTGCCGTATATATTCTATAGCATCCCCATTCGTTGTAATCAGCATGATCTTGGTAATAAAAGCATTTATGGTAAAAAATTTTAGCGGCTATTATATTTGAAGTTTTGAGAGTTAGGTGTTGCATACGGTAGCTCTATCAATTCCTGACAGCTAAGAAGGTATCCAGGGTTGGAGCAAGAAGCCAAAAAGTACATACTTCTTTTTGTCATATTGTGAGTCAATTGCATGTTCTTTCTTAATTTCTGATATGAAATTTATAGTCACGGTCTGAAAATGATATTAAGACCTGGTAAACATTGTCAGAACTCTAGACTCATGAACATCCATCTTTGAAACCTTCGTTCCTTCTTAGTCCCGATGACTCTAGGGGTTACAGGTTTTAACTGATATTGTCAGCCCAAGAACTGGATAATCCGAATTTGCCATCTTCCTCTCCCTGATTTGTTTTCAATGGCTGGAATTAGTAGATTTCTCCATATTCTAGTTACTCTGGCTACAGTTTGTTCCATTGCCTTAGCTAAGGACAAAAACCAGTTTATCTACGAAGGCTTTCATGGAGCCAATCTTCATCTTAATGGAATTGCCAAAATCCACCCAAATGGCCTATTGGAGTTAACAAACAGTTCATATCAACAGATTGGTCGTGCTTTCTTTCCTTTGCCTATCAAGTTTACTACATCATCGTCCAATAACTCTGGTTCTCTGTCATTCTCTTCCAGCTTTGTCTTTGCCATGGTCCCTGAGTTTCCCAAACTCGGAGGCCATGGCCTTGCCTTCACTATCTCACCATCTATGGAGTTCACGGGAGCTGTAGCAAGCCAGTATTTTGGACTTTTCAATACTACAACCAATGGCCGATCAACCAACCATGTGTTTGCAATAGAGCTGGATACTATCAAAAGCCCTGAGTTTGAAGATGTCGATGCCAACCATGTAGGAATTGATGTCAATAACTTGCTGTCCAACGCATCGGCTCCAGCAACTTATTATTCAGAGACGGAAGGGAAAAATAAGACCCTGGAGCTCATAAGTGGAAAGCCAATTCAGGTGTGGATAGATTATGATGAAAGAGAGATGCTACTTCAAGTAACACTAGCTCCTCTTAGAACCAAGAAGCCAAGGCACCCTCTTTTGTCAGCAAAGCTTGATCTTTCTGAAGTATTCTTGAAATACATGTATGTTGGTTTCTCTGCATCTACTGGGGCAATGGCAAGTAATCAGTACATTCTTGGATGGAGCTTCGATAAAAGTGGACAAGCACAAAGCCTTGACTACTCCAAGCTCCCTTCTCCACCCCATCGTAGATATCCCGCGGAGAAACTAGATTTCAGGATCATGATTCCATTGGTAATTATGAGTCTTCTGGTTGTATTTTTCATTGGAGCTGCTTACAAGACATGGAGGAAGAAATATGAAGAAATAAGAGAAGACTGGGAGCAGGAATATGGTCCTCAGAGATTCTGTTACAGGGATCTCTACAAAGCAACAAATGGTTTCAAAGAAAGAGAACTCCTGGGAGTTGGTGGTTTTGGAGAGGTTTACAAGGGAGCTTTACCTTCCTCCCATGAACAAGTTGCAGTCAAAAGGGTCTCCCACAATTCAAAACAAGGGATGAAGGAATTCGTAGCTGAAATTGCTAGCATGGGAAGGCTAAGGCATAGGAACTTGGTGCAGCTCCTAGGCTATTGCAGGAGAAAGGGAGAACTTCTCTTGGTCTATGATTTCATGCCCAATGGAAGCCTTGACAAGTTCTTATTTAGCAATGAAAAACCGAACCTTAATTGGGTTCAAAGATTTCAAATCGTCAAAGGACTAGCATCAGCACTTCTTTACCTTCACGAACAAGGGGATCAAGTTGTGATTCACAGAGATATAAAAGCTAGCAATATTCTACTAGATGCCCTTCTTAATGGAAGACTAGGAGATTTTGGGCTAGCTAAATTCTATGAGCATGGAGCCACTCCTCAAACCACTCATGTGGTCGGTACCGTGGGATACATTGCACCAGAGCTCGCTAGAACTGGTAAGTCCACAACCAGCTCTGATGTGTTTGCTTTTGGGAACTTAATGCTGGAAATGGCTTGTGGAAGGAGAACTTTAGAACCAGAAAGACCACCAGAAGAGATAATCTTGGTTGATTGGGTTCTTCAATTCTGGAAAACTGATCTGATTCTTCAGACAAGTGACCCAAGATTGGAAGGTAATTATGTGGTGACAGAAATGGAATTGGTACTGAACCTGGGTTTGCTGTGTGCACATCCTACACCAGCAAGTAGGCCTAGCATGAGCACAGTGGTACAATACTTAAATGGGAGTGCCTCCTTGCCAGAGTTGCTACTTGATGGTGCCAGTGATTGTATGATTACAGTTCCTCATCAAACATCAGTCAATGATATGTCATTTCCTGCATCATGTGACAACTTTTCTGCCAATTCCTTGTCTAGTACAACTGATTCCATTCTCAGCTGTGGTCGCTGAATTTGTTAGTATTTTTCAAGGCTCAGTATGGTGAAAATACAGCAAGCTTAAGTCTGTTTAACTGCAACAAGCGTCAAGTAGAGAGTAATAACGGAGAGGCCCATTTGGCTTAGCTGATGTAGTCGGGGTGGTGTAGAAAGATATCTTACGTTCCAATTGTAAAGCTCTCTTATTGTACCAAAAAATAGATAAATGAAGTAGTTATGGTGAGAGGAGGTTGAGAAATTTGAAGTCCAAGAGTTATATCCATTTTGCTACAGCTTATAAGCATTCTTGTGTTAACATTACCATGTAATTAATTTAGTTAAACTGCATACTGCAGTTAATCTGTAAAATCCATCTACCAATAATTTTATGGTTGCCTCACCTATAATCAGTTCAGCTCACAGATTATGACAATGAAAAATCCACTTCCAGATTTCATTTCCACGTTTCCATTTCAGGAAACATAGGACAAACCTTAATCTGCCATTGGCAACAAGGTCCATAACCCCAACATCGAACCAGTCATAATATATAGTAAGTATTGTATGGAAACAACAGGAAAAATGCGGACTTAGTACAGATTCTTCTGCTTGAAAGCCTAGAGGCTAGGATCATGTTGGAACAGAACAAATGTTAGGATCATCCAGCTTTAATAATCAGACTACCTCAACTTAAACAAACTAGGCAAAAAGAATCAGAAACCAAACAAGATCGATAATCTCCCATTTAGTATTTGATTTAACGTTGCCCTTTAGTCATTAAGGGGCATTCAAAGCAATGGGAGGTGACATGAGATTTTGTATATGACAAAATATTCTTGTTTGAAACTTTGACAAAATATTCTTCTTTGAAACTTTGAGCACACGGATTGATTTTGTCATATGAAAGAGTTGAAATTTTTAGAACCGACCAATAGTTTTTACTTTTTCATCAATTATGAGGAATAAAATCCAATGACTTTATCTTTGAATTCCTGGGCTGATAGCCAGCTATGCCTATGGAATCAAGACTTTGGCACAGTGCTTAAGCCATAAAACTTGTTGACTAAAGCTACTTGACAAATAAAGAGTTATTGGCAAAGGGCCATAAAACGAATAGTAGAAGCATGATTCATACCAACATATCAATAATAGATCCTTTTTTCTTTGTATCCTCCATAGAAGGAAGAAAGCAATAGACACTGCATGAAACACCTTTGCATTTGAGCTGATAATTTACATGGTCACAAATATTTTCGAATAGATAAATCTTTCCTCGTCTCGTTTGAAAGGGGAAGATGTAGCGGCGGGTCGTGTTTACACGCAAGCTGACAACAGTAATTAATCATGTTGCATACGTTTTTGGTCAATGCCAGTTTCCACGTTTCCTGGAAAATGACATCAAGGAGTCACGCGTGAACATTGAATTGCAAAGTTAATGCTACTTGTTTTAGTCTCTTTCTGAAGTTGATTCTTTCAGGTTAGGTGGTTTCCCTATTTGCAAGGTACCGGAGATGAGGGTCACGAGACAAGGATACATAACTAAAAAAATGAACTGATGACCGTGTGCCAAGTGAGAAAACTGTCAGATGTTTAGGAACGATATCCAGATGGACTTCAGCCAATAAGCAGTTGCAGCAAGCCAATATTAAGGAGTTTTCAATTCTTCAAACAATGGCATTTCTACGAATTACATCATGGTGCAGTTGAGTTTGACACTAGGAATAGGTGTGAACAGCCTGAAATCTAATGGATCTGCTCGAGCTGCTTATTTTTCCTATGTAGGAAGGAAAACAAACATATATTTTCCAGGAAATTTCCAGAAAGATCAATGGACTTGCAAGTTTTTTTTTTTCCTGGGAAAAGTGATGATATTATTAAGTCTCACTTGGGTTACAGAAGTTTAGCCGCTGTGGCTTACTAAAAACAAAAGAATCCTTAGTGTAAGGACTGGCAAGATATCAGATGGTTTCTGCTATGCCAATGAGAAGGTACATCAATTGATCTCTCTTCTTACAATAACACCAGACAAACCAAACTACGAATTCCCTAGTAAGTACAAAAACATGGACTTTGATAATATATAACAAAATGACCCATTTAAACGTTTTCCACCCCCAAGTCTAATTCAAAGTAAGCATCCGCAAGTGACCACTATATGTATGTTATTTTAGAAAAATCTTATCATCAATTGGTGCACTTGCAAAGTGACCACTATATTATTAGATTTCAGCAGAAGTGGACAAGCACAAAGCCTTGAAATTTCAAAGCTTCCACAACTCTCACTGATAATTGAGGAAGGAGAAAGCCTGGTGGATTGATTATCTTTATATATTCATAACAGCTGTTGTTGTGCTGATAACAATCTCTGGAATTGCTTACTTTTTCAGGAGAAGAAATATGAAGAAATAAAACCATCTTACATAGATCTGCCAATGGCTATAAATATGTGAAAGTAGATTTAGGATCTTACAGTTAGCCAAAATATGAAAACATTTCAAAATGCCCACATTCACCAACCTGGAGATCTTTCTCCAGTGCAGCAAGCTTCTTGGCAACGACACAAGCACTTGAAATTCAATCAGCACTCAAAAGCACTCAAATGATTGTACTTAACGCAAGAAATAAGTCAAATAACAGGAAATAGATTTTGCTGGGTTTTTTTGGGATATTGGGATGCACAGACTTTTTTTAGTAGCATGTCATAACCCTTCTTCGCTGGCTTTTCAATTGAATACACAAAGATCTCCATCATGACATTTGTTTAAGAAGGGCATTGATTATCATACATACAACTCCATTTACATGTCATAAGAAACGTTCAGCTAAAATAGTAGTCCAACAAATCCCATGAGACTATAAATAGAAAACCATCCACTGCCATCCTAAGAAATACTTTGCGGCTAATGGTTACTTATTTAGTCTTCCCTGAAATCATGATGATAGCGGGAATTGCTGAGCTTTCACTTCAGGATCTTGGATTCTATTTCTTCTAAGCTCAAACCTTTAGTCTCAGGGATGTAGACTACCACAAACAAAAGTGATAACAAAGCAATAGCACCAAAAAGAAGGAAAAGATTTTCTGCTCCTAGCAACTCCTGCAGAATGAGCAGATATTAATTCTGATCACAACAGTCAAATTCAAAGCACAAAAAACTACAAGAAAGCAACTTTGAAAAAAGTACACTGTTCAGAATTGAATCAATACCTTCAATGGTGAGAATGCAAAGGTAACAATAGCATTTGAACCAAAGTTAGTGAGAACTGCAAGACTAATCCCTTTCCCTCTTGTGCGTAGTGGGAAAATTTCAGACACCATTAGCCAACTGATAGGCCCAAATGATATCTGAAACATCATTTACAGGGCAAAATGTCAAATTAGAGTACACCTTGGTCTCACAGACAAGGAAAGCACGCGAACAGCCTTTTTTTTTCTATTTTTTCCACAAAATTCTCTTTCTTTGGTTTCCAGCTTCTTTTTTTTTTTCCATTTGGAACAGTTTTCCTTTTCCCAACTATGTTGAAGCTTTATTATTTCTTTTCATATGTAAAACTCTAGGAGTGAAAAGAAATAAATTAAAATTTCTGATCCTAGAAGGTCCCACTGCCACCAATACCAACAATCAAAAGAGAAAATACTGGCCTGATAGCAACCGACATAGAGAAGTAGAGCAGCTACAGCAACAAAAGGGAGTCCTCCAAAAAATTTGTAATAAGCAGAAAGAAGAAACAAGGAAAGAGCCTGCAGTGCAATGAGTTCAGAAAGACAAATAAAACTTCCATAATCATCTTTGCAAATTAACATACCTAAGGGCATGACAGTTCAACAGAAATGAGGGGAATAGTTTACATACAATCCCACCAACACCTCCAATCAGCAACGGTCTTCTGCCAAGATCATCAACTTTTGCAACAGCTATCCAAGTCATTAATAACTACAGGAAGGTATATTTAAAACAATAATTAATCAGCATAGGAAAGAAGGTAACATGATAAACCCTGATTCAAAAGTTAAATAGCAAGATCTATTAAGAGTTACCTTGAACAAACCTACTACTACAGAAAGGCGGGTAGCATCAGCAGCCGCAGAAAATCCAGCACTCTTCAGAAACAAAATTACAAAAACTATTATATGAGTTTGGATAATTGACATTTCCATTTTAAAAACACTGGGATAATAGAGAAATGTTTCAATTATCAGTACCTGTAGAATTGGACCAGCATAATACAGAACACTCGGTTGGCCAGTTATCTGTCATAATAAAGGTACTAAATAAGCCTTTAACATAAAATTCTGAATTCTTAGTGTTCCCTCCTCATATGTTTATTAGCAAAAAACATAGGAATATAATTTATAAATAAATAACAGTATGGATGAGCAAGGAGGAGTAGTACCTGTTGAAAAAGGACTAAACCTCCACCGATTATGAGGGCTTTCAAACTTGGCCCCTGAAATACCTCCAAGATATTTCCTTCAGATTCCTGTTCCACATATGTAGACTTCAGTGACAATAGGCTATCTTCTATTTGTTTCTCAGATGCTTCATCACCTGGAGCCCGACCCCGTAGTTTGCTTAGGGCAAGGATGGCCTTCTCTTTGTATTCTTGTAAAGATCCTTTCCCTTGAACCGCTCTGAGAAGTAACCAGCGTGGTGATGGTGGGAGACTCCACATGCCTATTTCCATAAGTAATGCAATTGGAGCACTACACCCATACATGAATCGCCACCCCCCAACAGCATTAATTTGGAAGCTTCCCACAAAATATCCCAACTACAGAGGAATCCATACTTCAGCTCAGCTTGTTTACAAAGAAATAAAGTAGGTAGTCAAACAATATGTTTAAGAACATACCAAAATTCCCAGAACTATGAATAGTTCCTTTAGAGATACTAGCGTTCCTCGTATCTGAGATGGGCAAGTTTCTGCTATGTAGAGGGGAGCCCCATGCATGGCCTGTGAAATGGCATTGTTGCAAGATGTTATGAGTAAGCACATCATAATAAATCTACCAGAAATACCAGCATTTAGTTTTGTGAAGCTCACCAGTCCAATACCCAGGCCATAAAGTAGCCGTCCTACTAAGAGAACACTAAGGCCTGGAGCATAAGCAGTCAACGAACCACCAAGCACATATAATAGAGCAGCAATGATGAGTTCCCTCCTCCTTCCTTCATGCACAAATCAAAACTATTGGTTAAGAGAAATTGATACATATAAGCTCCAAGTATAATGAAGAAGTTGAACAAAGGATTACCAAGGAAATCTGCAATTGGATAGACAAGGAGGGAACCAAGAAGCGCCCCATAAAGGGAGCCACTGACCTGCACTCAAGCAATATAGTTAGAAAAAAAAAGGAATACATTGTCATTAATTATTGACAGAAAAATATTGCAAATGTCCACAAAAGATGCACCAATTGTGTAGGTATAAGCAAGGAATCATACCACTAGACCAAGCTGAACAGCCGAAAGGTTGAACCAAGTAATGCCACTAAGCTCAGGTGACTGACATTATCAACATAATATATTAGATGAAAAAATATGATCTCTTAATGTAGTTAATGCTGCTGAACTAAACAAGAAATGGTAAATTAATTGGATAAAATTATGAGAAAAACAGTAGTCTGTTGAAGCACCTGCAAAGAGATGGTAGCACCAGAGGTGGCACCAATGTCATACCCAAATAACAACCCTCCCAGAGCTGGGAACAAAAATCTGATTGCCAGAATCAAAATTAAGTCAAGTCACTAAATTGACAGAAGGTTAGAGGAGACTGTTCATTAAAATGATCTACAATCTATCCCTAATTATTCCTTTCTTCAAATTTCCATTATCACCAACTATCCTAAGAAGCTAACGCTTTTCCCTACCAAGAAGATAATTCGACAAAAAAAAAAGAAGAAAAAACCAAAACTACCCAGTGAAGGAAAACATAAAATAAAAAAAACACATACAAGAGAAAAAAAAGATAAAAACGTACGGCAAAATCACTGAAGACCAAGAAAAACGCTCTTGGCAAGCTGAGTCAGGTTCAAGTGACTCTGCTTCTTCCCCTGAAGAATAATCACTCTGTGCAGCAACCTACAAAAAGCAAACAAAAAAATCCCATGATCTAAACAACCCAAAGTTCAAAAAGAAATCATAGTCATTGATACTTTACCTGGAATCTGGGTTTCCGCCTACAAAACAGTGATGGACTTAAAAAGATGTCAATCTTGCTGCAATCTTTTGCTTGAGAGGACAAAGTCTCTGGAGAAAGTCTTGGCCTATTAGTGAAGGAACAGAAAGAGAGAGAGAGTGGTTTCTTTGGCCGGTGTGAGTGTGAGAGTTCGAGGTTCAGCAGAGGCTTAGTAGTGGCACCGCAAGCCATTGGAAGAAAAGATCAGAGAACACACAAAAAATTAAAAAAAAAAAAACAAAAATCTGACGGTTGGTAGGTGATTTTCCCGCTTTTATCTTCTTTCTGTCTTTTTTTTTTTTTTTTCTCTCTCTCTCTTTTTATTTTCTTTGTTACCATACGACACGTGTGATTGATTCTATTCTTGATATTGAGGCTTTGGATTTATTCGGGTATTTTCATGTCAGCTATATGCAATCATTCAACTTTGTTTTGTTCAACATCAGCTAAAAACAGAAAAAAAAAACTTACAAACAAAATAAGAAAAATGGTTTTCGGGTTCCAACTGTAACTTGTTTTTCGTTTTTGGTTTTGACCCATAATTCAAGACTGTCGAAGGCAAATGGAAACTGCAACTTATTGGACTTCCAACATTACAAAATCAAATGAAACTGTGGTTTTACAGCGAAGATATCAGATGCAGTTCAGAGAGAAACATCTTGTCAGCCTCCCCTAGTGATGGGTTTGACTTGGGGGATTGAGAAAGTCTCGTGGGAAAAAAATATTAGCCACTCAAAATAAATAATGCCCCTGAGTGATTTTCAGGAAATGACCGTTGCCCATAATCTTTGTAACTGTCTTTCAAAAGTGCCTTTCCAGCACTCTCCTTTCATCACCCCTGTTAACTGACCCCATATTTCCCGGTTTCCAAGACAAGGTCTTGATTGACCATTCCCCCCCTCCCCCTTCACATTTTCCCTTCCTCTATTCTCTATATTTAACCTTTTTAATTCTGTCCTTGAGTTGCCATGCTCATGCTTAAACCGTTGATGGTTTGGTGTGTTGAGAGAGATAGAAAAGAGAAAGGGGGAGTTGTTTCTGTTGCAAGTTTCCAGGGGGTCTCATTTCAAGGATGGAGGACGGTGGGAACATATTCGAGACGCAATTTATTGGCATGACCAAGACCAAAGTAGGGAAGCAACCCACCAGGCTACAAAAGCATGCCCCGGCATCTCTTAAGCTCGATCGGATAAACACTGCCGCTGCCGGCACCTGCCCTTTTGGGACCTCTGGTGGGACTTCTCAGGCTGCAATTCCCTTACTGTCGCCTGTCACTTTATCACCGTATCCATTTCCAGATACAGAAGAATTCGTGGTTCCAACATGGAAAAATGGTGACCAAGGCACTGATGACAACACGGGGCGTTTCATTTCAAGAATGGAGGACGGTGGGAACTTATTTGAGCAACTACATATTGGCGTGACCAAAGCCATAGTGGGGAAACCACCCACCAGGTTACAAAAGCATGCCCCAGCATCTCTTAAGCTTGATCAGATGAACGCCCCCGCTGCCGGTACCAGCCCTTTTGGGTCCTCTAGTGGGACTTCTCCAGCTGCAATTCCCTTACTATCGCCGCTCATTTCATCACAGAATTCATTTCCAGAGACAGAAGAATTCGAGATGCCAGCATGGAAAAACGGTAACCAAGGCACTGGTGACAAGAAAGCTGCAATACCAACACCAATCGGTTGGAAACATCCAGCTGTTCCAGCATACGTGGAGGCTTCTACTATGTTCACTTTGTTTCAAACCAAATGCCTTCTTGTCAATGATGCACAGTGATGCTTCCGTTCTGCATCTGTACATCATACACTTTGTGTTTTTCGACCCTAAGGTAGATTTACCAGTTTAGTTAGATCATATAAAATTGATGGTGTCTTGATCGATGGGGATCTTTCTCCATAGTCGATACCGGTGTCTTCGATCTTGTTGTATAATGCATTTCCCCGTGATGGCAAGCTTCTTGGGTGATTGTATAATGCATTTCCCCGTGATGGCAAGCTTCTTGGGTGATTGGACGTTGCCTATCATTTTGCTTGCAAGAAAGATGATAACGAGATTTGTCTCCCAGAGTTACCGTTGTTGATTCCCCATTTGGAAGAGGAACATGTTTTGAATATGGGATTCTCTCTATTCCTCTTTGTTGTTGCTTTACAATAACCAAGCGTTACCTTTGGAGATTTAAAGAGGTAAAAGCAGAACACTCAAATACGGGCTATTTTTAAATTAATTGTGCCTTGCATTTTAGCTGTTGCTAAATGCTACCACCACAAGCAAATCAGTGTATTGTTTTCATGCCTTTCACTGCAAGGAAGAATGATAGTTCAGCTAAAAGCAGGAATGAAAGCCAGGTTAGATTTTGAAACCAAAGTGCAACAAATACAAGTAAACAAACAATTGAGACCTGTAAATAAACCAAATCGTCTAAGTATGTAGTTAAAATGAAATTACATATTCCATCGCAGAAATGTTAAAACTTCATGAAGCATCTCAAGTAGCCATCCATTCTAAGGCCGAAAAAGCTCTTCCTTTATGTACAATAGGACAACCATCCAACCCAAGTCTTATGGAAGGTATTAAAATAAAACATGTCATGCCCTTCCTTCAAGATTTCACTCTAATATTAATCAAAGAAAAATTACCAAACACCTAATAAGGACCCTTCACTTGATCTTTTAAAGAAATTTGCAATTTGATGGTGAATAGACATTTCTCTAACAAAATCAGAAGTCAAATTCGCCTGTTGCCTGCAAAAGATTATACCCATTCAGCCAAAAACTTTGATTCAATAACAGTGACAGACGAGTAAAAATAAATGTCATATATTACTCAGTGACAAGCACACCTTATTAAAGAGAATGTCCTTGTTGTTTATATGCATGATGCCATCCTTCAGTGTGCATTTCCATCGGCTCTTGGTACGGGTCACCTACAAACACAAACATACAATATCATCAGTTATTGTCTACATAGAAAAGTAATGAGGCTACCAAAACTTGTATCAATACAAATTATGAAGTACGTCATGGGCAGCAATGATGCATGCTGCAGAAATAGCAAAATCACCTTGTCAAATTGAGCCAAAACTAAATGCTGTGTGTTCAGCTCCTCTCCCTGGTCCACATCATCCAATTCGTCATCATCATCATCTTCATTCAATGGCTCATCATCGTCGTCATCTCCAGTATCATTTTGGGCAACAGGAGCAGGAGTGGCCGCTTGAAGGTCTGGCAGGTAAACAAGAAAAGCAGGTCAACCAAAAAAAAAACCAACAAATAAGGGAGAGAGAGGGAGGAACAGGCATATAATCAAAGAACAATAAGATGCAATCCTCAATTCAATCATTGCCTAAAGTTACCATTAGGCGCCGGTGTGTTCACTACGTTGTAGTCTTCATTGGCAACTCCTTGATAATTGTATATCTTCAAGGTAAGAGAAGAAAGTCAAAAAGCAACAGCCTGTATGTTAGTGAAATCTCCAACGATATACATGAGAAACAAAGAGAAAAGGCCCATTCTAAACCACATGCACAAAGTAACACTGTTGCAAAATGTCACAAAATAAGATTGGGAACCGACCAAAGAAAAACCAAGAACCATTCTATCACTATGTTGCAGAATGTCACAAAATAAGATCAGGAATTGACCAAAGAAAAATCAAGAACCATTCTATCACTCAGTTAAGGAGCAAAACTATCATTGAACTGGTCACTGGTTTCTAAATTTGAAAATTTTCTATTCCTCCCACTTACAATATAAGCAATGCAGCCAAAATCTAGATTTATTGTAGCATTTTCCATATGCCAATTCATCTTTACCCTCAAAAGATTACTATCACTGGCTTTTGGGGTTAGCCAAGTGCAACTGCAGATACCCAGTGGGTTAAGCATTGTACAATAGTTAGCTATACATAATGCAACATCAAAATTGAACTCCAATTACACAACGCAGTCATATTAAAAGATAGGTTGCCTGCCAACATCAACATAGATAATTCAACAATGCATCTCACATCAGAGAAAATAGAACAGATGAATGTCATTGGAATATTGCAATATGATACTTACATTAGGAGTAGAAAGCATATCATCATATGGATCAGGAATTGGTCCATCCAGTTGAGGGATCTTTGAAGATGACCTAGCCAAGTATGCTAAGATCTCGCTTTTTGCAGTGGTTGTAGAATCACGTCTATCAAGGAAATCACTACCCTTACTTCCCTGAGAGTTTAGATATAATAGATTAAAGAAGGGTGTAAAACACATGACAACTACAAACTCAAATATTCCAACAATATTTCTGGTTTACAAGCACCCTTCTGGTTTCACCTAGCATAGCTAAGTTTCCTCATAAATATTCATCACAGTATAGCTCATAGTTGAAACAACTACAAACTCAAATATTCCAACAATATTTCTGGTTTACAAGCACCCCTCTGGTTTCAACTGGAATAAATAAGTTTCCTCATAAATAATCATCACATTATAGCTCAGAGCTTCAACTATGTTTGCTTTAGCATTTTTATTAAAATAAAAAGTAAATAAAAGAGAAAAGAATGTGGGTACAAAAAAGCATCTTGTCTGCAGCAGATCCAACAATAATGGATAAAAGAACTTAGGCTAACAGGTAAGTCTGCCATTTTCCTTCAGATAACAAATTTACAAATGTTCTTACTGGCAGTCCCTCTCTAAAAGAAAGAGTACCCCATAATGGACAACTTGCAAGACTTCAATAATGAATAATTCAGTCAATGAAGTTGACGGAGAAATGAATAAGCAGACATGCAACAATTCACTAAATTGCACCAGCAATTTCACTGGTAAGAAGAGTTAAGAAACCTCTTCTTATCACACTGATCTCAAAGAACTGTCATATACTGTCTGCCAACTGCTTTACCCTTTGAGAACATTCTCTGTCAGCTCAAAATATACTCAACAACACAAACTTGTAACTTTTAAGAATATTCTTTCCTAATTCACAAAACACTTAATGACTACTAACCTAAAACCTGTACCTTCAGAGAAGACCACAATAACTCTAATACGGTACAGAAACAGAACTTCCAGGAAGACCTTGATCCATGTCAAGCACTACCAGAATGGACACTAATCAACTTATCACTCCTTTATTCTCCATTTACATAGAATAAACTAGTCCTGCTCCTACCAAATACCGACTAATCAGTATTTGACCACAAGAAACATTACTCATTTCAATATTACTTTTTAAGCAGTTTATCAGTGATGTTATTTTGATAAGCAAGAAAGATCTTCACCAGCATAAGACCCTTGGAAAACAAGAATAGCCAATGAATGTTGGGTCTTATAATTCGTGTAATTACAGTAATTGCTAGTTTGCTATATCAAATTAATGGCTTGAATCACTGTGATATTCTTATATTAGGCTGCAACGACAAAGATTGAAGAATCCTGTTTTCCCCAAAAAAGATTAAAAAAAAAAAAGATTCTACAACTTTCTGGGGAAGAAAGGCAAATCCATGATTTACATACAGAAGGAGATAGAGTAGAGGTCTACCAGAGCCACACACATCCACAGAAGATATCTAACCGTGATTTGCGTTAGAACAAAAATTTCAAATGAACACGCACACGACAGACTGTCACTAAATAAGAGGACAACTAACCTCTGCCTTTGGAACTTCATACATGGCATCTCCAGCTCCATCTTGTTGGGGTATATATCCACCACCATTGTGATATTGAGTAGTAAAATCCTCACGTTTTCGCTTTCCAGAAGACATCGTAAAGAAGTCCTGGAATTTTCTCCAATATTAAAATTAATCACCAACTTAAGTAATAATAGCTTGTCTTGACATAGGAACAAGGATTATTGAACGAAATATTTCCAAAAAGAGTCAATTCAAACCCTTTGGGATGTGAAACCCTTTTGCATGACCCATGAGTGCTCCTCAAACCAGAAAAACCCAGACATCATTATGCAGTTGTAATGTTACTCGTAACAGGAGTTACCTGTGTCAGGGGTTGATGAGAGGTTCCTCTATCCACCTCATCCCGCCCTTCCACATAAGCTACAAGAAAATAGCACTTATTATTAACAAACCATAGTTAGTGGGTTAGAACTAATTGCTCTTTTAATGTCATACTCACCGACATTAACATCAACACTGAGTGGGGTCCTTTGATTTGGCCAAGGAGAAGGAGATTGCTGTGGGAAAAAAATAGAAAGTATAGATCACCAATAAATCTTCAATGAGGCAACAAAGCCACTTCTTTTTCCTTTCTTTGGCAAGTACAACAGTACAACTACTGTTACACAATGTTTCCCAAATGAAAATGGCACTAACAGAGCATGCTTACCATATACGGGCTCGGCCTTGCACCTTTGGCATCTGTATTGCCGCCACCATCATTCACAGGAGTAGGATAGTCACTACTTCCAGTAGGGATGTTATACATAGAACCATCTGCACTTCCAGGCAACGGTGTAGGAACAGGTGTTTGCAATGGAGTCTACATAATTAAAACCATTCATCAAAAAATCACAAAACAAAAATATCCACCACAATTTAAGCAAATAAAGGCACTCAAAGCAGAGTAATTGGGACATTACCGGAGGGAAAAGCATATCAGCTGTAGGAGTTTCATACTCCTCGGTCCCTTCGTAGGGAACATTAAGATCGTGCACCGGAGTAATTGGGCCACCAGGTGTGGGCTGTTTCTGACCCGAAGATCTCTCAATTGGACCACAGACTACTCCCGCTTGCATCATCTTCATTTCCCAAATCTAAAAGCCAACATTTCCCAAAATCAATTCACTAGATCAGTTTCGTTTCGATAAAATTAATCAAAACCCCTAGTGTTCCAATCAGATCGAATCGAAACACAACGATAATCCCCAAAACCACAAATCATTTTCTAAAAATAATTAAAAAAATCAAACCCTAAAATTAAAAAGAAACGAATGAAAAGGAAATGAGAGAAGGATTTTTTTACTCCTTGTAGTTCGTTGAGGACAGTTTCCCCGGGTCCACCGTTGTTGATGAACTCATCGCGAACCTTGTTGATGACGTCTTCGATGACGTGGACGTACACCGCGCTCGTTGTCGACGAGGCCATTTCGTTTTTCCTCGAATCTTCTATCTAGCTCCTCCTCCTTCGATTCTTCTTTATTTTCTTTTTACAAACAAGAAAGAATTCTCGGATTCTTTTTCCTCTCGGTGATATTTTAGGATAAACCGTAGAGGAGCATGAGAAGCGAACTTTGAAAAATCGATCGATCGGGCGCAATTGGAGAAAGGAGCCTAGGGTTTGGAGAATCGGAGCTGGAGAGAGAGGGAGAGAGAGAAGATAGACAGAGAGGGGCGGACGAGAAAAGGAGAATAAAGACTGGAATATAAATAGGTTTGCATCCGATTATAAGGAGTGGGGCCACGTGGCATAATCTGAAGAGCTCTTTCAGATTTTTTTTTTCTTTTTTCTTGTTTCAGTTTCTTTCCAGGAAAGGCTGTGGGCAGAGAAAGAGAGAGAAATTATGTGCTAAATGCTCTGCACAACTCTCTTTTTTTTATTTTTGTTCCTAAATTTTGTTTTGGTGGTATATATATAGGGGAGAGAGAACAGGACAGCCGAGTTTGGTCATGTCGACCCCAGCGTGCGCTTGATTCTGGGTCCCATTTGAAATACACGGTGCAGATCCTCCCAAATTAGCATCTGCTGTCATTTTTTCTTCAAATTTTAGAGAGGGTGACTGCATGTAATAATTTTTTTTAAACAAAATAGACTTAATACAGTAAAATTTTTATAAATTAATACTTTTAGATTATAAAATTTTAGTAATTAATTGAAATAATATTTAATTGATAAATTAATAATTTGTTAATTAATATAAAATTAATTTATCAAAATATTTTTTTAATATTAAATTTAATATATGTATTATATATTGTGGTTATATAAATATTACTTAATTATCGAATTATGAATTATCATTATTTCTTACGAGCAAATTATTGAGAACTTAATAGAAAATGATATAGAAAATAAACTTGAAAATGATAATTCTATACTATAGTTTATCTCGTGCAACGATGCACTCAAAATAACAATCACATTATATAATTTTTTATTATAATACAAAAACAACATACAAATACTTTTTAATACATTAAGAATAGACATTAATTTCAAAAAAAACAAGTAATATTAGAATTATATTTTATACAAACCTTCTAAGTAAATCATATATATATAATTTTGATGTATAAAGAGATCATTAATTTATATATTAAGTGAATTTATGTGTTTTTTTTAATATATTATTTTATAAATTTAACGAATTATTAATTTATTATATTAATCTCAAGTCAAGATCGATAAAAAATATTATTTAATTAAAATTATTAATTTATCAAGTATTAATTTATAAATATTTTATTATATATTAAATAGTTTAAAATCACTTAAAATATTTTTCAATGGAAATCTTCAACTAAGTAATTTTCCAAAATCGAAATGCTAACAGACACTACATAGGAGCAAATTAAGTCTAAACTTGTCATTAATCTTAAGCCAGAGGCTTACTTCCCCTTTTAAAAATAATACTTCACACAATAAAAAAATTAAATAGACAAGGATGTACTACTTCTATTATTTAATGCCCAAAATAGAAAGGTTTGTCAAAGAAGCAAATATAATTGAATTGAGTCTTTATTCATTTCTTACAATATTTGTTGAACCATCATTACATACGAGTGATAACGTAATGACAATTAAGCAACACTTGTTGTCATTAGTGACAAAATATTTGTTGCAAATGAGAATTAGCACTTGTGGTAATGGGATTCAGACTTAGATGAAAATTTTTTGATCCAATGACATATAAACAATGTAATATGGTTTATTATTTTATAGGTGAGCAAATGGTAACCACCTTTAATGCTCTAATGCTGATAGGTGATTATGTAATAGATGTTGAATGTTTGCGCTTTTTTTTTTAAGTGAAAAAGACCAAAAAGAAAGTCAAATAATCACTCTTATTTCTTCACTAATTTGGTTTATTGGACCACCAAATTTGTATTAGCTAAGTTTTAAATATTGTACGTTTATATCCGGACATGTAACTTAATAATTGATGTATATTTTTTATTACAATAAAATCTCGATAAATTAATAACGTTGATTAAATAATATTTTTAGTCTATTCAGACTTAAAATTAATGTGATAAATTAATAATTTTTTAAATTTTGTAAAATAATGTATTTTAAAAAAACATACAGAACCCTCTTGATATGTAAATTAATAATTTTTTTACATATTAAAATTATATATATGACTCAATTAGGAAGATTTTGTAAAATATGATTTCAATGTTACTTGTTTCTTTTTAAAATTAATATCTCTTTATACTTTATCTTTAACTCTTTTTAGAGCATTAATAAATTATGATATAGTGTTCTTCTATTGTAAGAGAAAATTGATATTGATTGATAAATAATTGACCTATTGATTGTATTTGATATTGTATCTTAGCTTACTTGTAAGTTAAATTTTTATGACACCCACTGTTACAATTACTTTTGAGTGCAATTTGAATTTTCTATATTGTATTCACATAATACTTTATGCATTTCATCCATTAATATTAATTTTTTTACATCTTTAAGATGATAAGTCACTATATTTAGTTTTAAGATTTGTGATATTATATATATTCTTTTTATATATGTTTTTATATTTAATGTTCATGAATTATATTAATTAAGTATATATTGAATGTAATTTTAATTTTTTGTAAAAATAAATAGATTTATGACTTCTATTTAAAAAGATTAATTACATTCCTAAGCTTGTTTTGACTAAATAAATATTAGTTCGTAATTCGATAATTAGATAATATTTATATAATTACAATACACAATACATGTATTAAGTTTAATATTAAATTTTTTTTTGATAAATTAAATTTTTATTAATGAATATAAAAATTAATAAATTATTAATTAAATATTATTTTAATTAATTAATAAATTTTTATAATCTTAAGATGTTAATTTATAGAGATTTTACTGGAATTAAAGCGTTGTGCATCTTTTGGGCCAATAGTAAATCCAAGTCTAGCCATTTCAACCCGACCCAACCAACAATCAAAACACCATTTGACCCAACGCTCAACAGAAACAAGGCAAAGTAGTAATTCCACTGAAACGGAGGCCTGAATTCGGAATCAAATAAATATCGATTTCACCGATTTAGGGTACCTCTTCCCATTCAGGAAACCGACTCAAAGCCTAAAACCCAAATCGTACAAGATATTTTCTATTTCTCTCTCTCTAGCCTCAACACACAGGTTTTTGAGCTTCCCTTTCGATTAAGCCCCAAACCCTAGAATTTCATGGCGTAAATTATAAGTACGAATCTCTCGCTCTCTCTAACAAGCATTTCTCTTACTCACACACCATCTCAAAGCAAAAGGATCACTCTTCAAACCCTAGAAAATGTCGGGCGGATTTTTCCGGGTAATTTTTTAAAATTTATTTTCTGTCTTGTGTATTGTTCAGATCTTAGCAATTTGCCGATTAATTTTCTTTTATTTTTTTTAAATTTAGGGTACTTCGGCTGATCAAGACACTCGATTCTCCAATAAGCAAGCGAAGCTTCTGAAATCGCAGAAATTTGCTCCTGAGTTGGACCATTTGGTTCGCTTTTAAATACATTATTTTTTGTTCGAATTTTGATGCAATTAATGGTTTTAATGTTCACTGTTATTTCATTTTATTAAATCAAAAGAAAAAAATTGTTGTGTTTGTTTTTCTTTTAGGTTGATATGACGAAGGTTGAGATGGATGTTATTAGACCTTGGATTGCTGCTCGGGTAACTGAGCTTCTCGGTTTTGAAGATGAAGTTCTTATTAACTTCATCTATGGTCTTCTGGATGGGAAGGTAATAGTATGTTTTGCCCGTATTTCTTTTGTTTCTCCGGTAATGAGTGTGTATTGCAATAATTTGAAGTGGCTTCAAGAGTGTAGTGCCAGCTTGGGGATCAAATCTTCAAGATATACTTGTTAGCTAGATGATTGCACCGAGCAGGATGCTCTCTCATTAAATCTTTTCTTGAGCTGTGGGGCTGTCTCTTTATTCTTGTGGCTCCCTGCTAAATGTTTGTTGATATGGGATTTAGATAATGGTGCAATGTTGTTTGTAGTTCATCTTGTTGTCGGCTCTGATGCAGGAAGTCAATGGCAAGCAAGTTCAGATATCCCTCACTGGATTCATGGAGAAGAATACTGGAAAGTTTATGAAAGAGCTCTGGACCCTTCTGCTTAGCGCACAGAGAAATGCAAGTGGTGTTCCTCAACAGTTTTTGGATGCTAAAGAAGAAGAAACTAGGAAGAAAAAGGTTTAAATATTTCTAGGATTGTGGTTCACATTTCTTTTAGTACTCTTGTTGTTCCTCTTTTAGACCATGTTATTATGGGTGGTTGCAGGCGGAGTCAGATCGAATAGCAAATGAGATTCAGAAGAAGAAAGATAACGAGAGTGGAGAACTTGAACAGGAGAGATTGAGGAAGATGGTAATACTAACTTTTTCATGCTGGAGTTGCAATGCAAAGAGTTGGGTTTTTGGTTTTAACTTTCCTTTGTGTTTCTTATGGCAATCAGCTAGCTTCTGCAATTATTTGGGTTCATGTCCTTTACCTCAAACTACTGTAGGACAATGGGGATGAAAGGAAGGCTGGCGACCTGGAGTTGGAGCCATCCTCAAAGAATAAGCTGCCAAAGGGTTCAAGTGCACGTCGTGAGGGTGAGAGAGATGCTGACCAAAGGAATGGTGTTGGAAGGAAGAGGTGAGGGTTTAATTGCCTTCATTTCAGCTTTCTTTTGGTACTTTCTTTTTTTCTGTCTATAGATTATAATAAGTTTTGAACTTATCATATGGTACAAATATCACCTGAAAATTTGCTGCTGTTGTTGGTTTGGGGCTTACATTCAATATTTTCCAGGGGTGGGGGGTTTAAGAATTTAATTTTTGTTTTCTTTTATAGTTGTTGTAGAAGCCCACTGAGTTTTGGGCTACGGAACTTGTGGTAGTCTTCTTTCATCCTATTGGTCTGCTCCCCCATTTCTAAGACTTGTACCCAAGACCAAGTTGGAAGTCCTAAGTAAATCATTAGGGTGTCCTGTTGAGGACTTTAATATTTGTTGAAGTTTGAGATTGTGCATTAAATTGGTTTGAATTAGTAGCCTTGTGCTTTCCAAATGGGTAAGTTCAGTAAGTTTGGGGATTAGTGGAAAGTTGTTTTTGAATATAACATGGTGTATGTATTGAGGTAAATAATTGCAATATCTTTAAAATGAGAATTTTTATTTTTTAGGACACTTATTATGTATTAATCTTTTGCAGAGTTTCTAGATCTCCATGTTCAACTGACCGTTCTGCATCCCCTCGGTAATTCAATCACTGCTAAATTTTGATTGTATTGCTAGGATTGCATATAAAAAACATGTTTATTAAATATCTTGGGTTTCATATGCAGAGGACCGCATTCTCAATCAATCAGCCGATCACTTTCTAATTCAAGAAGCTATTCAGAGTATGTTCTCTCACTGTACAATTAAATAGCATAAATACATTGTGATCACCAGGCTGGGAGAAAGTTTTGGTGTTAACCTTTCTTCCTTGACACTTAGGAAGTTTTTGTTTGTTTCATAAACATTCCATTAGTCTAAGCTTTTTGAGATTTTAGCATCTCAATTTACGTGCAGTGACAAACACAAGTCTAGGAGTGTATCCAGATCACCTCAACAACGACAGCGCTCCATTTCTTCTGATAGGATGTATCGTTCCCCAAGAAGGCGATCTCTAACTCCTCGATCTAGACATTCACCTCAGTCACAACGTTCCCCTGCAAGACGAAGATTGTCTTATTCTAGGCGAAGATCTCGAACTCGCTCACCTCGCAGATCACGATCTCCTATAAGACGTAGATTGCGTTCCCCATATCGGCGCAGATCACCTACACCCGTGCGTCGTAGATCACGGTCGCCCATCCGGCGTCATAGACCACCATCACCTATCCGACGTCGTAGATCACCATCACCAATCCGCCGTCATAGATCACCATTATCAAATCGCCGTCACAGATCACCATCCCCTGTTCGACGTCGTAGATCTCCATCACTTGTGCGTCGAAGATCTCCATCCCCTGTGCGTCGTAGATCTCCTTCGCCTGGGCGCCACAGATCTCCATCACCTATACGTCGTAGATCTCCGTTTCCTGTGCACCGTAGATCTCCATCACCCTTGCGACGTAGATCACCGCCTCCTATGCTACGTAAATCACCCTCTCCTATGCGACAACGGCGTCGTAGATCTTCGTCGATACCACCACGATACAGGTCATCATCTCTTGTGAGACATAGATCTCCATCTTCCAGCCATAGGTCAATAACTCCTTCCCATGGTAGGTCTCGTTCACCATATCAATCAAGTTCTTTGTCTCCTGTGCATCGTAGATCTTCTTCACCAGTTAGGAGGTCTCCAGAGAAACGAAGATCACCTTTGTTTTCTCCTGGAGAAAGACAACGGTATGTTGAAATCCTGTTCCCACTTTATTTGAAAATTTTTAGATGGAATACATGGAGCAGTTTTAAGTATATCAGAAAATTTTATGGTGCAGAGTGCGTGGAAAGTTGTCTCCTGTGGGACATAGGCTCTCTAGTTCCCCAGATAGAGATCGTATTCATGAGAGGGATGCAGGTTATAAAGTGCCAGCTTTGTCACTGTCCCCAAATAAGTCTCCTGTATCCAAATCTCCATCTCATGTTAGGAATCGATCTGCCAGTGAAGATAGAAGGTAAATTGTTAAACTTTTCTTTGAGATATCTAACTTGTATCATAATCCATTTTATTTTGTTATCCATGCTTTGCAACTTATTTATTTTCATATTGTTGATTTTGAAGGTCATCGAGTCCGTATGAGAGTCCTATGAGGCAAAGGCGGGAGCAAATTGCTCATCATGACAGCTCTAGTCCAGAGCAGAAACCACGAGAATTGAAAGGTCAACGGGACAGTAAAGGGACTGGCAGAAAAAATGAAGCCAGCAGAAGCAGGTTAGGTTTCAAATTTATCATTTTTCTTGCTATTTTAGTGCTTATGTTGGCTTTGACATTATGAATGTTCAATTATGTTTGATCTATTTTTTCCTTTAGGCATTCGCCGCTAGTCAGTAAGCAGAGGGTTTCTCCTAGGAAGGTTCATACTTCTGAACAGTTGGCAGGTAGTCGGTCTACAGAATCTTGGAGTCGGCTTGATAACATGGAATTGAGAAAGAAAGACCTTGAAATCAAGAGGTATCATTCCGTCTCAACCATAATATTATTTTTCTTGTTTGATCACTGGTATAGAGGTCTGACTATTGTATCTTATTCCTCACAGTGAGAAGTCTTCTGGAAAAGGGGTTGATTTGGGAACTCCTGATCGACAGAGATCACCTGCAATATCCGAGGACACATTTCAAGGTGAGAAGCAAAGTGCATTGCACCTGAGGGAAGGAAAAAGATCTAGTGAGAGGGGCCGTTCCTGTCAAAATGATATAAAGGACAGTGATCAACACCACAAAGCAGAAACTTCACCAATGTTGTTTGAAAAAGTTGATCAGTATAATCATGGTTTGGATTCAGGTTCTGAAGGAAGTGATAAGCACAGAACTAAGCATAAGGAAAAGAGAAAGCATAAAAGGTCTGGGAGGCGTGAAGTTACTTCGGATGATGACTCTAGTTTTGATTCTGAAATAGAGGGCAGAAAAGAGGCTAAGAGGAGGAGGAAGGAAGAAAAGAGATTGCGAAAGGAGGAGAAGCGGAGACGTCGTGCGGAGCGGCGTCGCAGAAGGGAAGAACGTCGTGCGGAGAAGCTGAAAATGAAAGGTCAAGATGATGACTCTAGTTCAGATGGTGAACATGTGGCTAAGAGGAAATCTCAGCCAAGTGATGATGAAGAGGCAGAGACTGAGCAGAAGAAGCTTGAAATTGAGTTAAGGAAGAAGGCGATTGAATCACTCAAAGCGAAGAAGGGCATTAGTCGCTGAATCTTTTTGTGTCTTTTGAACATTAATATGTTATTTTCTTTTTGTTGAGCAGATATATTTAAAGTTTGATAGGAGATTTTATGTTTCAAATTGGAGTGTCTTTATATATTGGTTACTTGCTTAATGTAGTTTGTGTTTACTGCTGGCAGCTGGAATGGATAAATGAGGATTTCCTGAGCTTTTCTCTTGAGTGCAACTTTATGCAGACCTTGCTGCTAGATTTCTGGTAATAACTGTCTTCCCTCAATTGGGAATTTGTTTTTTTAGTCACATGGGTGTGAAGGCATGCTGTTGCCTTGGTTGTTTTTTGTGGTTGACTTAATTTGATGCACTTGATGTGAAATGTGAGTTTGATGTATGCCTGAGGGATGGAATTAACCAGGTCTGTGGTATCTAATTCTTTGTTTTCTATTTAGATAAAACATTACATAAAAGTCTTTTCTGATGCATTAATATGAGATTTCTAAATCACCTTTGTGGTCAATTGGTAGATAAATTTATTTTCAGCTAGATGACTTGGTTGAGCAGGCTATGTGCAGATCTCCAATTTGATCCTCAATTCAGGTGCGGAGTTTTCATTCTTTTATGGGCTCTTTAGGAGAAGAAATCAGTGTCTGGAGGTTAATCCTCTTTGTATATTTATACTAGCTACTTTCTCACTATGTTTTGGTTTAACCTCTATGGGTGGCAGCTTGATAGTTGTTCCGGGGACTTTGTTTTCTAAAATTATTGCTGGTGCTACGGTTATCGGACTTGTCCTGGCCTGATTATGCACTGAAAAGTTTCTGCAGATGACATCGTCATGTATGTATTTGCACTGATTAAATCTGTATGAGAATATTTCTTAAAAGTCCTAAAGGTATATTTGCACTGATTATGCCCTGATCTATTGCAATTCCTAATCAGCTATTGGTTTGGAAAATGTCATTATAACCAAATCTGAGCCTGTGGGCTCTAGGATGTTGGATGGATGGCAGTGTAGTGTATATTTGAAGTATGGCGAAGATAAAAACATTTCTCATGTAAGATGAATTGGGGCAATCCTCCTGTCTCCCATGTAATGGTGCTTTTTCTCCTTGTTCTTCATAGTTGAGTCTTTTTGCAAAGTGCACGTTTCCCATACCTTTTACGTGTCTAGTTTCTCTCTAAAATAAATAGTGTTTGTGAGGGCTTATTTGCTATTTGTTCTCTTCATAATGTCCCAATCGTGCGGGTTCTAAACATTTTCACATGCCCTGTATCAGTATCAGTGGCTTTGGGACAAAGGAATAAGCTGTACATAAAGTTGGAAATGGTGTAGGTTGAGCATGATCAGGATGTGGCTCCTTGAAAGCTTAATTAATCGGAGTTGATTTATCAAATTTCATGAGATATATGGCTTGGTAGTTGGGAATAGAGTAGGCTTCTGCTACCCTTTAAATTTTTAGTATGACCTCATTTTTCTGGGATTGTAGATCATTCTTAATTCGTTGAGAAAGAGGAATATCTTTTTTCATTTGTATGAAAGCTACAAAAGAGCATGAGATTGTGAAACGGATTTGCGAGCTGTTTAGTTTCTGGTGCGAAGTAGGTTTTTCAGGATTCTGATCATAGGTAGCTGATGACATTTTTCCATGTCACTCTAGTGTCTGAATATTTACGACTTGTAAAAAGCCTTCTTCTCTTCTCTATTTCGCCAAATTCTTTATTTTCATTTTTAAAGAAAGGTGGAAGAGGACCAGCCTGAAAATTATGACGAACCATCTCGTTCTAGGAAGCCATCCAGAACCTTCAATGGATGAGCAAATGTTTTAGTATGGTTTTCGAGATAACATAGTGTTGTATTGCCTGCTGAAGTTGTGATTGTTTGCTCTACTACAAGCAGTTTCGTTTCTAACGTTAGTGGGTTCTATTTTGCTGCTTTGCCAGTTGTTGTCAGTCGATTATCACCGCACTTGGGCTGTAGTTAACTCAGTCATGGTCAAAAGCTTCAGCTGCTGCTGCTACTGATCTCCTCGATGGGAATACAATTTCCCTTGTGTTGAAGTCTCAATACCGACCTGACTTAAACCCGAATTATCTGTGATTTAGTCGTTAATTGTTCTAGATTTTCTGTTCGCATAAAGCCAGTGCTTTGCGTTGTGTGGACCATGCTTATCCGACTTTGTAAGTCAGTGGATTAAGCAACAAATAAAACGCGGATGCATCAGTCATTTTCTGGTGGTTCAAAAATATATACAAGGTGATGTGCTGCTCAACGGCTGGTGTCCGATTTCCTCTAGTGGATAAAATTGTGAGTACGTGGCTCATTTCTATTTGGTAGTTTCCCATCACTCCTCTCATCTGGATAAAACGCAATTCGATTGCCACAGCCACAGGCATCCGAGTACTAAGAACTAAATGGACCTAAATAATAGTAATATACCGAGAACACCGGTTGAATTGAACGAGAGGGTCGCCATTTGACATCCTCTTTTTTTCCCCTTTTATTACATATCCATGGCTCCAACTCTCACCTCCAATTCATTTCTCTTAACCACCACCCCCCAGTCAAGGCGAACCCTCACGAACCCAAGGTTCACAGTGTTTGCCAAAAGGTCCGGTCCTTTTCAACTTGGAAAAGCTAAAGACAGTCCTGAAGAAGGCCAAACTGAAGATTCAGGCAATTCTACTCCTTTCCGTTTCAATTTCGGCAAGGTACGTGACGCGAAAACTTTGGTCCCGCTCGTGAGTAAACCTTCTACGGGTATATCGTTTGGGAACACAAGGAGAAAAGATCCAGCCGCTGTATTTGTCGCGGGTGCAACCGGGCGGGCTGGCATTCTCATTGCACTGACATTGCTGCGCCAGGGTTTCACTGTTCGGGCTGGTGTGCCAGAGCTTGCTGCTGCCCAGGAACTGGCTCGTCTTGCTGCCCAATACAAGGTTAGCGATCTTAAACCAAAGCCACAATAATCGTGGATCATAAGGTTAGTTTGGTAATCTGAAAGATCTTTGATAAGAGAATGAAATAGCTTGAATACTTAAAACCGGGAAATAGTTTCCATGGATTGAATTGTTGAGAGAGCAATGAACTTTGAATGCGTGAGAGAGTCAAACAACATCTTCCAGTAAACCAGGGCCTGTGATATTGAATAGGTTGCTTTTCCTTTTTCCCGGACTTAGAATAACTTAGTGATTCATCTTTTGAAGATCAAATGTCACTTAGACAAGATGACATGTCCAATCCATCTGAAAAATGATACTGTTATTAACCAAATCAGAAGTCTTGAGGATCAATTGGGGACAAGTTTGGAACTGTATTGCACCATAAGATCAGATGCCTCGGTTCTGTGTAAATAAGTCCCATATTTTCTGCAATGTATGCATCGGAAAGTAAATTCTGCTAATTCTTTGTGTTGTTCAACACTAATCCTTTGTCACCACAGATCATATCCAATGAAGAATCAAAGCGCCTCAATGCAGTCGAATCTACCTTCCAAGATGCAGAATCAATAGCCAAAGCAATTGGCAATGCCAGCAAAGTTGTAGTCACAATTGGCCGTGGTGAAAATGGTCCCACTTCTGAGGTCTCCACAGATGATGCCTTACAAGTTATTGCAGCTGCTCAACTGGCTGGCGTAGGCCATGTGGCAATTGTCTATGATGGGAACCAAGCAGGCGCTTCAACTTATAATGTGCTTGATGGTATCACATCATTCTTTAGCAACCTATTCTCTCAATCTCAACCGTTGAGTCTACCCGAATTCTTGCAAAAACTAATCCAAACTGACGTTAGCTACACGTTATTAAAGACAACCCTTGTAGAAGATTATTCAGCAGAGAGCTCTTACAATATTGTGGTGTCAGCTGAAGGCAGCATTGGTGCAAACGACTACAAAGTAATGTAAAATAATGTAATGTATGCAGTTTTATCTGTTTCATTGTGAAAATTTTCTTTCTTGATCATAATTTTTTTTGTCTTATTGCTCAATATTTTTGGAAATTGTTGTTAGGTTGCAAAATCTCAGATAGCATCTCTGGTTGCAGATGTTTTCTCCAACACAGCTGTGGCAGAAAACAAGGTACACTTTGTTTTCTCTTGTGCTTCTAAAACCTTCATTTTCAAGAGTTCATTATCGGGTATAACTAAGCTGTATAGGTTTATTTAGGTGGTAAGAGGATCAATTTAGGATGAGATATAAATCCAAATGTGACCATGGATTTGATTCCATGTACAAGTGATCATTTATATGTAAACGCTTTTATCTTTCATAATGCAATACTTGAAGTTTGCTTAAAGTTGGATAGTAATTTTTATCTTTCTGTTTTGCTTCCGTTACTCCTATATCTTAACGGTTGCTAAGTGAGACAGGTTGTTGAAGTTTTTACAAGCCCATCAGCTCCATTGAAGGGTGTAAATGAGCTTTTCAGGTAAATTGCTTGGATGTTAGCTGATCGATTATATAGTCATAAGAGATTTTAGATTGCTTGGGAAAGAAATATGTCCTAATTTGTGCTTTTGATACTTGCTTTTTCAGTGCTATTCCGGAGGATGGAAGAAGAAAGGCCTATGCAGAAGCTCTTGCAAAGGCTAAAGCTGAAGAAGAGGCAACAGTAGCTGCTGAGAAAGCTCGTGAAGCGGCTGAAGCAACAAAGAAGCTGGAAGAGGAAGTGAAAAAACTTTCGAAGCAAGAAGCCAGGGCTGCTAGCCTAGCTGAAGAAGCCCAAGAGAAAGCAGAGGCTGCGGGGGCGTCGGTAGAAGGCCTCTTGAGTAAAGCTAAGGGCTTCAGCTCGGGACTTTCTTGGGAAAAATTCAGTTCTCAGATAGCAACTGCCGTTCAAAAGCCTTCCGATGAGGAGAAGCCTAAAGTGCAGATTGCCACTGTTAGGGGACAAGCTAAGGCTAGAACGTTACCTTCCAAGAAAGCTGTTGTCAAGCAACCTGCTCCTAAATCCTTTTTCCCAAAGCCAAAGGAGACACCAAAGACAAAGGCTAAAGAGACGGAGAAGACTGAAGTGAGGAAGGTTTTCGGTGGCCTGTTTCAGCAAGAAACCATATATGTTGATGATGACTGAGACGAAAGATATGCAGCCAATATATTTCCCCAGTCTTGCAGATGATTTTTGTGCAAATGTGGTCCAATAATATCTTGTGTAATTATTGTTGGAGGTGTTATGAGTCAAAGAAACATGCACTGGCTTAAGGCTATGTTATTTATTCTGTCGAAATGTGAAGCAATTTTCATAGTGTCAGTAAAGACTAAGTAATACCTAACCAAACGATCTCCAATGGCTTGAAACTCGACCTTTGAAATTACTAAATAAAATAAAAAATATTGACAGATCATGTTTTTTAATATCAAAAAATAAAAATAAAACAAAATAATCAATTTGAAATTACTAAAGTGATGGTGGTCTTGCATTATTAAATTCAGAATATCCTGAACATATGCATATAAAATAATTTCTTTATTTATTATTAATTAATTTTAAATTAGATATTTATTTTAAAAAATTTAATAAGATTTCAAAAAATAAATGTTCTAATTCGTTTTCATTTGTTAATTCATATCACATGATAAATTTGTAATTTTTTACATGTAAAGAAAATATTAAAGTAGTTATAATCTCAAGGCTGAAAGAATAAATTTACAACAAACTACCCGACAGCTCATTTATACAGGATTGATCATTGAACATAAGTCCTGAAGTTTGGTCTACTTACCCAGTAGATATGGTAAGTATAGTGCACCTAGTTTCTAGTTTCACGATGGAAGTACCTGGAGGATTCACAACCTTTTATAGTTGTTAGGGCCAGCATCTGATAACAGATAGAAGCAGCAAGCACTACATACTATTAAATGGCCTCGGGATGTGTTCTGCCCTTGTGAAAGAGGCTGGAGAAACTGGGATTTCTTCACGATTTCAGCAGTCATCATCACTCAGCTATGATCAATAGTACTGTTAGATGCAAATATATTTATTCTGAATCTGAGCTAAAGTGGTACTATGCAATAATATGCTTTTTGTCAGTTACATTACTAAAGTCTAGGCAAGTCGTACTCTTCAGGTTTGGAAAGAAATGAAGACACGCAGATGGGGATTGGGATAGTACCATGCACTCCATGCTTTTTATGCTCACCCTGGAATTGAAACATCATAAATCTAAATTGTTCTTGTCTTTGTTTCATAATGCAAGGCATCACTGATTAGTTCCCTTAGTAAGGGTTCTGCGAAAGCAAGTAAAAGATGTTTACAAACGTGTTTAATACAAACAGTTAAAAGAGACAAGACAAATGGTTTGGGATTTAAGAATTTGACATAATAAAAATATCATCTAAATAGAATTTCAATAAATGAATTTTTTTCCAGTAGTTGTATAGTTATAAAAACGTATGAATCATTTTCAATATATTAATGAACAGTTAAAATTGACACAACAAAATAAAAAGAGTGTGTCCTTATATGTTTCAATTTCCAGGTAATTTGTGGAACATAAAAATAGTTGAATTCTTTTAAGGAGATGTCAGCCACAATCGTTATGATGACGTGCATTTACATGCTGTACTTGGAATTAAATGCTAGTAGATTTAAAATCTACTGAGTTCAAACCCCCAATAAAAGCCATGGCTTCCTGAACTTATAGTTACTTTCAAGTTTTAACTTCGGAAGCTGAATGTATAAAAGGTGACAAATTTTAAGCCATAAAACGATTGGTTCGAAGTTTTCAAGTACTTCTTTAGTAAACTTTCTGTCGGTGAGAGAAGGTATGAGAAATCAGAAATGAGTAGTTTAGTGGACAAAACCTGTCGTTAGGGTTGTCAGCTTTTGACAAGGATCACTTGTTTATGATCTTCTGTTTGAATTAATGTCGGAAACAATGGTTCCTTTACTCATTTCAATTTCTTATTCAAAAGAACCAAACTAAACCCTAGAACAGAACCATGAATGCATATTTGTAAATGTCACCGGACAGCACTGAGATTAACTTAGATCTAATCCCCTAGAATGTCACATTATATCTGTTTCTTTACACTTCTCTCTGTACTGCTATTTTTGTTCATTAATTATCAAGCAAAGAAAAGGGCAGTTCGAAAGAAATTAACCATGCATCCTTTGTTACTATATGATCATTCAGGATTGACAAACTGTAGGTACTTGTACTCTATCTTGTGAAGCATTTGCAGACACCTATACAAGTTAATACTATTGCAATGTTTATTTCTCACTCCTCGCCTTTGAATTGAGTTTTGCAGCAGATTGAATGCTGGAGAGAGAAAACCTGGAATTCTCTTAACTTAAAAAAGAAAAACCATTCACCTATGTCTCCGATGCTATTTGTTGCACATAAATTCATGTTATTGGGCATAAAATATGAGAAGTAGAAGACGGCATTGCAAAGAACATAATCATAAACATATCAATAAAACTTGATAAAACATATCAATAAAACTTGATATGTTAAGTCTGAACAAGTTCAATGCTAAATACATGAAGAAATTGGAAAAACGATAAATATACAATCATGAAATGCTTATAGCTAAATATTATAGCCCCCTCAAAAAAGGTTTGTGGCTACATAGAGGTAAACATAACATTAATCATCCAACAATTGAAAAAATAACAAAGGGAGATGGGGAACAAATATACGTACCATGATATAGTTTCGAATTTAAAAGAACTTTTTGGTAGTCATTGTTGGCGACGAATCCTGAGGCTCTGGCCCCAGTCTAAGTTCAAGGTCCAACTGATCGGACCCTGATGACCACTGGCTTGATGATATACCCTTTCCAATGCCCCCTTGAACTTGACTGCTTGGATAATTTTGATCTGTTGTTGATGGTTTTTCATCGAACAAAGGCAGTTGTCTGATTTCCCCAACGTGGGTTTTGTCTCTTTTGTCAGCATCATCGTCCCCCTGAATAACCCAAGGCCACTTTCCAGGGCTGCTTCTAATTTCTTGACTAGACTTGGCATCCGCTCTAGGCTGTAGAACTGTTGTGCAGCTCGGATGGTTCGGAGAATACGAGGATGGGATGATCTTTGGGACGATGTCCAGAGATTGTTGAGTAGTTTCACCTGGTGAAGAAGCTTGCTTGAGCTTGGCTTTGTCTCTACGGTGAATATTCATGTGGCCACCCAGGGCCTGCGCATTGGAGAAACCTCTCTTGCAAAAAGTGCACTCATAGGACCTTGCAGGGCTTGTTCGTTGGTCATCCGGGGATCCCTGGTCTGGGTTTTCTGGTGCAGGCTGATCAGTCTCCATTCAAGCACTGAGAGAGAGAGAGATAGAGAGAGAGAGAGAGAGAGAGACGTGGTCAACTGGAAGATAGTGAAGGTGTTTTCATATGCAGGGGCCTGCTATCTTCTAGACTACAACATGAAATGATCTGTAACTTCCTAGATTTGGACAATTTCCAATTCCACCAAAGGACAAATCCAAAATTTTATATATTTGGTCATGGAAGGAAAGACTGGCGGTGTTTATTTTTCGTTAATAAAATAAACTTGTTTAGAAATTCTTTTTCCTTCGTCAGATTATTTTCAGCTTATATATCTTGAACTTCTGTGATTTATTGGTCGATAAACCGGAGAAATCCTCTACACATAAGTTTGGTCCAATAAATTTAAAAAACCAATATCTGACTAGTGTTTATGGTAAAGAATCTATATATGCTACTCCTCTATTATAAATGGTATCATAGTTAGACTTAAAAACCAATGCCATGTTGTAGCGACATGTGCTTGTTTTCTTTCGAATTCATTGCAACCTAACAACGAGTGAAACTATGATTATATTACAATTTTCGCTAATATATTTTGCCGACGAAATTCTAACTTCTGAAGAAGAGGATAATGCAACTCACCATCCGTGATTTTGGCTACCATAATTTGATGCCATGATAACTTGATGTATATCTGTGTTCTTTGTTTTAAGATGGACTTAGTTCTTCAAATTTAGGGTTCATCTATTTACCAAGCGAAAGACATAACCTAGAAATAGAAACTCTATGGCAAGAGCTCACCAACCCCAATCAAAGTTTCTTATAATTAATGAATTATTAATTCTCCAACGTCTCACACATAGTGTGTTTGCAGACAAATGTTGTACTATTAATTAAGTATTTGCTAAACGGATAAATCTATGGATAGGAAAGTAAAAAAAAACAATAGTACTATAATTAAACAGATATGATTTGTTTTTAAACCTCTTATAGATACTATTATTGTTATTATTAAATTGAACTAAGATATTCACGATAATGAATAACATATTTTGTAAGTTCTCAATAAAAAGTGACAATGATCATCATCAAATTTTCAATCCAACGTAATTATTTTGAAATTTCCAATTCATTTTAGACCAATTGCCATGGACAATGCAATAATTTCCAATTATAAAACTATTTTCCATAAAAAAAAATGCCTTCATCTTGGCCCCAAAACATCGTTGGGGCTACCTGATATTTGAACAATTCAAACATTTTTTAGGCTGCATAAATTTGGCCGCCAGTCCATACGTATGTGCTTACCCTTGTGGGATGGTTCAATAGATGGAAGCTGGGTCTAGAGCTTTAAGGTAACATGTGCCAGCTGCCACCCCTTGTATAAACTTAAACCATCCATTCTCGCTTGCCATGTGGAATACTCAGAGCTTACCTATACACATGACCAATTTCCAACTGCTAGATTTGTAAGAAATTAGTGAATAAATAAAAGAGAGGCTGCACTAAATGGTTCAGAATTTGAAAAAGAGAGACGAAAATAATGATAATGCATATAAAATTTTACATGTTTCATATATTCGAATTATCATTTCTCGTAAAAGAGTCATATCAGAATTTTTGTGTTCTACAAATGAAAACTAAAGGCCTGTCAAACCTGTCAGGATTGTCCGAATCATTAGTCAATATTGTGGAACAGGTTTCTGGTTTTATTTTATTTGTTTATTGTTTTGTGTAGCATTTAATTGTTGCTTTGCTTTCCTCCCCTTTGGTTTGAGTTCTTTGTAGCAGGTTTTCTGTTCTCTTTCCTAGCTAGGATTAATGTCCCAGAACAAAAGAATTGCCAGTAAGAACTAAGGAAGACTACATATTCATTTCCTTCTTTCGAATAATCACTTGCTGAAGCTTTCTCTTCATTGTGTATATTATATTTCCTTTTGGTTCGAGTTTTTCTGCATAGATTGTGTCCTAATATGGGTCACAGCCTCCAAGCCAATCTCTTCACTGGAATGTAATTGTCTAATTGACAATTAACAGTAAAATTAAATTATATCTTAAGCTGTATATGAATCCCCTGAAGATTGATTCAAGTAATAATTTCTATGGATGGTGTGAACCATTGCCTGAAAAATCAACCAAATCCTTCTCTATCATTGATGCAATTGTCTTTCTCATCCATTATATATGTATTTTATCTGCTCCTAAAATATTTTTATTTGGTGGGAAAACTTTCAAGATCCTTTGAATTGTGGCCTTCTCCTTTGCCATTGTAGCCATTATAGAAGACATCAAGTAAACTCCAAATACGCTCCCCCTCTTTGTGACCAAAGGGTTTATTTTAATATTAAAGGAACTATCACGTTGACTTCGTAAACTTTATTGAAAAATATCTTCTTCACGACATTTTTGTACGATGGAAGGAGTCAAATAAAAGAAGAAGAGCCAAGTTTGTTTTGTTGGTAGTACTGTTATATAAACTTTTATTTTTATATGATCAAGGATGGAAGCAAACAAGAATGGCCTATGCAGCGCCCCCATGGAAGAAATTGAACTTCAGACAAATTTTATAATGGAAACCCTGATTCTTCTGTCGCAACGATTGTTCTTATGCAGATTATTTGTCTCTTCCTGGACATTGTCTTGACGTTCAACAATTTGTCCAATGACAAGAATCTCTAGGTTTTATTATATATAATTCCATGGCTTCATAGAGATAGCCGAAGTTTCAATAACTTTGTTAATTACAAGTATGCACTACTAACAATTTCTGTTGTAAGCTTTGATTCTTCACCCAGTGTTGTTACTTAACATTGTATTTTTTGTTTAAAGAAAATCTGATCGGATCGTTAAGCAAATTGTACTTGAAGTTCAAGTAAATGATGAATATTTAGTAATGAGGAGGAGGAGAAAAGGTTTTGTACCAAGTAATTCCTATGAAAGATGAAAATATTCATACGGGTTTTAAGGGTCAAGCAAAGATAATTGTATACTTAATTGTACATTTTCAATAATATGTCTAATTAAATTACATTGTAGTATTTGTTTTATAATAAACTATTGCAATATAAAATTGTAATGTAATCGTATTATAGCCAATAGATATACCGTGATTACAATCCAAAATCAATACAATCAGATTACATTATACTCTCTAATATTGTTAGAAATATTTTTACTTTTTAATTTTATTACTTTGATAAAAATATTTTATAATATTATAATTTATTTTTTTATATATTGATTTCAATGAATGTCTTTTAATTATTCTTAATAGCCGTAAGTGTCAATAAAATTTCTTCTTGCCTCTCAAAAAAAAAAAAACAACTGTTAATAAAATTTATATAATCTTTTAAAAGAAAAAAATTAAAATAAAATATATAATATAAAAAATTCTATTAAAAAATAAAAATAAAATATATAAGATTATAATTAAAAAAATATATGATATTAAAAATATATTTAAGATATGATATTATATAAAAATCAATAATAAAAAAATATAAATATATTAAATTTGTATTTTAATAAATACAAATAATTTTAAAAATTAACATTTTATTTTCAACAAAATATTTATAAACTAAACACTGTAATATTATCTTTCATATATATAAATTATTACTTTACTTGTATATTAAATACACTTGATCTATATAACTAATACTATAATATTATCTTCTTTATTTATATAACTAATACTATAATATTATCTTTCTTACAACTGTATTATTTGAAATTATATTACCTGGTAGCATTTGAATTGGGCTTTTAAGTTTTTGGGTGATCAATTTTGACTTTATTGATCACCAAGTTGCCACTCTGTTCTATATTTAAGAACCTTACATCGTGGGAGAAGCCGGCTGCTGTTTGAAGCCCTTTCGTTAACCAATGAAGCAAGCTCTGATTGCGCCTTCGTCAGTACTCATTAACACCCAAAACCCATTGTCCTCTTCCTTTAAAGCCCAGCATAACACCCATTTAATCCTCTCTTTTAATGCCAGAACTTCCTTTACATTTCAATACAAAAGTCCCATTTTGAACCAATCCATGGCGCCAAGAAACACAAAATCTAACAGATGGTCACTCCAAGGCATGACAGCACTGGTAACTGGCGGCACACGTGGAATTGGGTAAAAATAAAAAATTTCCCAATTTCCATGAACATGAAAAAGATTGGCCATTTAGTTTTCTTGAACTATAAAGCTGAAACTTTTACGAGTCTTTTTGAACTGGGTATCTTTTGTTGGTTTATTTATTAGACGTGCCATAGTGGAGGAATTGGCAGGACTTGGAGCAAGAGTGCACACTTGTTCACGTAATGAAAATGAGCTTGACAAGTGCTTAGTAGATTGGAAAAGTTTGGATTTTCAGGTTTCTGGTTCTATCTGCGATGTGTCTATTGGAGTAGAAAGAGAGAGGTTAATGGAAAATGTTTCATCTTTGTTTGATAGCAAGCTCAACATCCTTGTAAGCTTCTGTTTTTCCTCATTGTAATGTCTCTGTTATGTTTGTTTATTTGCCAACAAGAGTAATGGGGCTTGTTAATCTCTTGGGTTCAATTTTTGGCGCACTAGTTGCTAGAAACGGATAATTGGTAGATTTTT